ATCACGTGATCAGCGCCCCGCGTTGATTATTACCTTCTGACGTGGACGTCCATAGGCCTTCCGCCATCTTCGTCCCTTGTCAAGGAGAGAATCCTTCTTGTTACTTGTAACATTACCTCCCCCCCTAGGGCTATCGTCCCGATACCCTGGTTCTTCGTTTTTCCGTTCCGGCCCCTTGCGTCTTCGTGGCGCCGTGTGCATATAAGGTCGGTGGGCCCCGGGCCATTATAACCGTTCCTTCCTGACTCTAGCCTTTCTAACCATGCCCAAGGTTCAAAAGCCCCGTGCTCCTCGTGCTCAAACTTCGACTGAACAGAAGCGTGCTCGCGCTGCGCGAGTAGAAGAGGAGGGTCTTGAAATGGATTTTCGGTGTAAGCGTTGTGAAGAGAAGAAGCTTCGCTGCTTCGTTGAGACGTCTTCCGGCCGTTGTGCTGGGTGCATCTCGGTTGGTGCTGAGTGCAGTTTGTTTGTTTCCGAGGAAGAGTGGGAAAAGGTTCGTGAGGAACGTGAGGAGAGAGAGCTGGCGGTCGCCCGTCTTGAGGCGCAGCTTTCTCAACAAAAGTTGGAGCTCTTAGAAGTAAAGAAGCGTGAGCGGATGTTTGCTCGTCGCGATTTGGCAATTCTCGCTGTCCAAGATCGTGCAAAAGAGCAGGCCGAGGGGAGCTCAGCCCCTAGGGGTACGGGCCTTCCTGTTGTCGAACCATCGCTATCCGAACCGTTGGCTGATCCGGGCTGGTTATAGGCTGATCTCTTTGATCCTTCTTTTGATTATTCCCTTTCTTCCTTTCCCGCGGGTCCTGATTATTCCGCGCTAGGATTGACTTTTGCTTCTCCGGTTGTCTCCGGTGAAAATCACGTACTAGTGACTTGCAGTTCGTCAGATTTCCTTTAGGTTCCTAAGTGTTGTGGCTCTCGGGCCATCCCCGCCACTTGACTAAGTACTTCCACTGACTACCGATTTTCCGTAGGTCCTTAACTTCTTCGACCTCGTACTCGTCGTCTTCGAGCTCTATGTCTGTTACTAGCTCGGTATCTGGAGGTGCTGGTTCCAGGAGTTTCTTGTGAAAGACAGGGTGGATGCGTATACCTTGTGGGAGTTTTAACTTGTAGTTTACTTTTCCTATTGCCTCTAGGACTTCGAACGGTCCTATTCGGAGGTTGTCCAATTTTCTGCATGGTCGTTTAGTTTTCAGGTTTTGTCGTGA